AAAGGCTAATAACAGCTTATCGTCCCTGATTGACGAGTCTATACGGAAAAGGCGAAGAGTCGAACTCGACCTCGCGAGAAGCAAGACCATGGCCCCACCACTATCATCGCGGCCAACGACGCCAGGTGGAGACTCGCGGGCGAGCTCTGTGGCTCCAAGCCCTAGCGGCACTGGCACTTCGCCAAAAGTCATCAAGGTTGCGGCTGCAAGATACGCTCCTTGGGATAGAAATGAGTTTTTGCAAAGGCTAGAGACCTTCAGGTCCGTTTCGAACTGGAGCTCAAAGCCAGAAAAAATCAATGAAGTTGCTTGGGCGAAGAGAGGGTGGGTTTGCATGCAGACTTCCAAGAATAGGGTCAGGTGTACTAGTCATTGTGGTGGTGAGCTAGTTGTGAAGGTTGATTTCGACGGCTTCGAAGTCACGGCGGAAGAGGTTGAGGATGAAAGTGAGGATGATGAAACCGCGGAGGAGAAGAAAGAGAGACTTGACGCTTTGATTGGCAAGTACGAAGAGCTTATCGTGGACGGCCATGAAGATGGTTGCTTGTGGAAAAAGCGTGGCTGCGACAGTAAGTGTCCATGATCGATGGTAGTGTTTTCTTGTCCGGGTGGCTAACTTCGTTATAGAAGCGATATATCGACTCCCTCTACAGCCGGCAACCGAAGCGCGAAACGGTTTCTACGCCCGATACAAATCTCTCACCAACGTCTCGGATGACCAGCTCGTTATCAATCTCACAAAGCCGAAGGAAGTCGACACATCTGCCTTGAACCTGCCAGAAGACATAGTAAAGGAAAACCTCAAGCAAAATGCCCTGGTTTTGGCTCTATTCGGTTGGTCTAAAGAAGACAACGAATCGTCCGTTGAAATGGTCAAATGCGATGCTTGCTTCCGTCGGCTTGGCTTGTGGCTTTTTGTAAAGCGTCCCAGCGTTACAGAGGAAGAAGGCGACGAGTTCAGTAGCATGTCACGCCTTAATGTGGTAGACGAGCACAGAGAGGTACGTTTTTGCAAATTACCCCCAACTTAGATCATTTATACTAATATGCCATTGTAGTACTGTCCCTGGGTCAACCCAGCGTCGCAAACTGGGGACCACGCAGGCTGGGAAGTTTTACTAAGAATACTGAAGAGCAGTATTCCTGGAAACCTGGTCGCTGCCCCATCACCGGCTCGCCCCAAGACGGCAGCAGTTCTTCCACATAAAACCGAAGAGGAGCACAGGAAAGACGACGAAAATAGGTGGAAGAGGCTTAAGAGTCTAAGGAAGTCTTACGGGTCCTCTTTTGCCATGTCTATTCTTGGTGGAAAGAAGGCCGATAAGAATGCACCAGGCAGTAGCCCCTCAAAAGGGACCGCAACTTCTTGAACGTTCCTTTCGCTGGGTTTTTTTCCTTTGATGTTTTTTTCCCTTAAAAGCTACTTGAAATTCATTATGCCAACGTTTTGTATTTTTCCGCTTTCATCAGCGTTGTTGATTGCAATTGCTTGCAGTATCCGCGACTTATTCGGAGTTTGGCGGTGGGGATGGGATTCTTTTGCTTGTATGATAACCAGAAATCATAATAATACTTTCTTCCCGTCGAACAAGAACGGAGAACCGTCAATTGTATCCAAACCATAACCTAGAGCCCATCGTTTGGGCAAATGCCGGGCGCCACCACGTTGTTGAATGTCGGCATGCGTCGGCCTTGGCACGTCCCGAGCTCATCTATTGCTTCCCCAGATTACCTCTTCCCCCCTGCCTGCAGGAAGCTTAGCTCTCCGAACCAATATTCCCTTCTCGCCATGTAACTTCCCTTCTCTCAATCACTTCTTTCATCCACTGTTTTTAGAACTTCCGGGGGCCCTTTTTTTCTCGACCGTTCAAAATCCTCATAATGTCTTTCGCCGCACCCTTTCGACGGTCATTGATACCGAGAAGCACACGAACGATTGCTTCGCGGTACCCATGTTCGAAACGACGATGCTTTGCGTCGGTAACCTCGTCGACTACGCCCGAAACGCCTAGGGAGCCTGAGGGAACTAGGGAGGTGCCCATGACTGTTGGGGATGGGGGTTCTGGGACTGTGCGCCCCGTACGTCAACGCCATGGTAGTGACAGGTATGCCGGACCAAGAGCAAACATTCATATCGTTGGAACATGTTTTCTAACCAATTTTTTTTTTATGGGATAGATTGGTTTTTCCGGGTGCTGTGAACAGTAAATTCACCAATCGTCTTCGATTCCGCATGTCCGATCCCAATGAAGCGATCGAAACATACCGTGTCATGGACACAGAGGGTCAGATTGTTGATGAAACCCATGGTCTTGACTTCGAGGCTTTGAAAGAGGAGACTCTCAAGATGTATAACAGCATGGTTACAAGTTCGTATACCAAATTCCTACGGCTCCGACGAATGGGCGTTGGTTAGCTCGATTCTAACAGATATATATTTTTTAAAAAAATTTAGTCTCGATTATGGATCAAATTATGTACGACTCGCAACGACAGGGCCGTATCAGCTTTTATATTGTAAACGCTGGTGAAGAGGGTATCGCGGTTGGGTCGGCTGCAGCTCTTAGTGAGCAGGATGTGATCTATGCGCAATATAGAGAGGCTGGGGTGTTGATGCACCGAGGGTTCACGCTGGAGGAATTTATGTCGCAGTGTTTTTCGAATAGGAAGGATACTGGACAGGGTAGAAATATGCCGATTCATTATGGAAGCAAGAGGTTGAACTTTGTAAGTTTGTGTCCCCCTGTCTCTTTCCAAGGAAGGGTAGACCTTTGGTTGGTTGGTTTGTTGGAGGCTTTGCTGATAGACGACGTCCATAGCACCCGATCAGTTCTCCATTGGCCACACAGCTACCACACGCTGCTGGCGCTGGTTGTAAGTATCTCAGCTCCCCACGAGGCTTGGCACAACTGCTAACTCCTAACTACCCTAGACGCTCTTAAGTTGGAAGGGACCCCTGCTTGTGCTGTCACATACTTTGGTGAAGGTGCTGCCTCGGAAGGTGACTTCCACGCAGCACTTAACATTGCAGCTACTAGGGGCTGCCCTACGGTCTTCATTTGCAGAAATAATGGTTATGCAATTAGCACACCGACTCTAGAACAGTACAAGGGTGACGGCATCGCTAGTCGCGGTGTCGGATACGGAATTGATACTATCAGAGTTGATGGAAACGATGTAAGAGACCCACCCAGATGATTCCTAGCACCCAGCAAGGAGGCACATTTACAGGGAAACCCTTTTATTAATACGTATCACGACATACAGGCATGGGCCGTCTACAAAGTCACCAAGGAAGCCCGAGAAATCGCCATCGCCCAAAAGAAGCCCGTCCTGATCGAAGCCATGTCCTACCGTGTCTCGCACCACTCCACATCCGACGACTCTTTCGCCTATCGTGCTCGCGTCGAAGTCGAAGACTGGAAGCGTCGGGATAATCCCATCACCCGTATGCGTAAGTTCATGGAACTACGAAACTGGTGGGACCAAGAGAAGGATACACAGTTGAGAACACAAGCTCGGAAGGATTTGTTGAAGGCGTTCAACGCGGCCGAGAGGGAGAAGAAACCTGCGATTAGCAGACTTTGGGAGGACGTTTATGATAAACCTACGAAAGACCAGAGGGCGCAGATGGAGGAGATGAAGGATATTTTGGATAGGTATGGGGAGGAGTACGATCTTGAGATGTATGAAGGGGGGAAGGATGGGGTTGTTAGTAAGAAATAGATCATGCTGCTCCGGTGCCTAGGATGATACTTTTCTTTCTTTTGCTTTGATTATTTCTTCCCTTTCCTTTCCCCCCTTTCGATGTTTTGTCTTGTCGCCGGAAATTCATGATATCACCGAGGAGGTACCTCGATATCCTACCTAAGTTATGTTTCAGCCCGCGCACATGTATTATAAGGGGTATATGACGACGGCGAAATTCATTATTACGGTTACCAAGAGGGTCAAAGCCCTTCATTTTCCAAAGTATAAAAATATTTAAATATTGGCTATGCGTTCGAACTGTGTTGGATGTTGGAAATTGATCACCGAAACCAACAGCTTACAGGCTTTATCATACTGAGACCGATTGGAAGATATGAGGTACATAGATAGACGGGATATATTTTCCAGATTCAGAAGAGAGAAAAAAATACAAAAATACCGTAACCCGTGAGCAGGAGCAGTAGATAGTTATATGTGAATGGTCACGTCCGGTGTCGAACCGGCTTCTCTCAAAACCGCCAGGCGTGAGTTCGAGCGTGCACCGACTGCACCACAGGACCCTCCTAGGTTTTTTCCAGGCGGTTGAGATATATTACTAAGTTAGATGGTCGGCCGGCCTGGAGACGTTTTTGTGATTTGGGACCGGTTTAGGTAGAGTACTCTGTATATGGTCATAGCTTAGCTATAGCTTAGCTCTGCATATGAGTCGAAACAACGGCTAAAACGTCTTAAAACGGCTTTACAAAACGGCAGATAACTCATGCGTAAGGCCCAAAAGTAAGATTATCAGTAAGCATGTATTTACGGACCCGTCCTAGTATCAGTCTACTAGAGTCGAGTAACGCATAGCTTGCTTTGCTGGTTCTCCGAATTTCGAGTTTAGCAAGGGAAATTCACCCGCTAAACCCCAGAACTCGCTTGCCCATGCAGCCACCAATACCTATCTCGCGGCGTTCGCGTCCAACAGCAGATCCTCAAGTATTTTGACCAGCGCAATCAGGACTAGCAAAATAGAGCTCAGGGTTGGATATTCTATCAATTGAATATCAATACTTGGCCATGGATCGGATTCGAACCGTCATATCCCACAACAGGTGGGGATGTTGCCATTACATTACAAGGCCTATCTCAAGGTCCTAGTCTCAAAGATCCCTGCCGGGTCGCAATCGAGGTCCCCACAATCAAAACACCCGATTTGGACTAAGAGTCAACTGTGGAGACGTCAAAATGTAAGCTCTAGGACAGCTTCAAAACAAAGCTCCAAAGCAGGTTTTCCCCCTACTTGATAATGGACGGATACAGATTCGAACTGTAACCTTTCAGTTAGTAATCAACAAACTGAATGTGCTTCCAACTACACCACAGGTCCGATAGTCTAGATTCCTGAATAGCTTATGTTGGTATTTCACTTGAGAAGGATCCTGCGTATCAGATACGTACCTTTTATGCATATGGTTCCATTTCGGATTGGTGTCGTATCAAAGCCGATGCAGCTCCAGCTGTTTCGGCTTGTGCCGTGTGTGCATCTTACGGCAATTAGCCAACGTTGGTGTTGTGAGCATGCGCAATGCAGCATGTGCATGTTCACGTCTACGAGCCACTGCATGGTTCCGCAACAGGTCGGATGCATTTAGCTGAGAGATAGATACTTAAGTATGTTCAGTTTTGTGAGGAATTGAAATTCTAGGTGGCTGTATAAGTACCCTGGCTAGAACTTATATATTCAGCCCAAAGCGCTCGCAGAGTGCACGAGTCTAGTACGTAGGGCCACCACATATGCACATGCTGACTTTCAGCCTTCCAGCTTCCAGTTTCCTAGGTCTAGTTCAAAAGGTCAATAGTGCAAGATCCGACTGAGCTTTCCAAGTCCAACCTTCATTTCATCACAACCATGACAAATATACTCTCATTACCAACCGAGATTCTCATTGAAATATTTTCCGATGAATCCTTTACTTCTGCGGATCTCGTTAGCTGTCGACGGGTCTGCAAATACTTTCGCAATGTTGCAGATAAATGCTCCATCAACTATACTTTCCAAATAGATGCTGTCAGTCAACGAACATGGAAGCTAACCAAGTATCTCTTGAGGAACCCGGACTTTGGGAAACGATTCAAGTCTATAAAAGTCACATGGAACCGACGAATACCAAGAAAACCACAGACTTGGGCATTACAGTGGCATTGGTCACCAGGCGAGATCGAAAAAATAGCACAACCTTTGTCTCGTGGAGGTCGAGGCAACCACGCACTATTGGGGAGCATCTGTCGCGGGCTGAATTCCGAGGCTTTGCTTCCGTTCCTACTACTTCACACTCCGAACCTCCGGCTTTTTGATATGGGGGATGTGAAACTGGATCTCCTAGGTCCCTATGTATCTGCCGGAGAGTCACAGCGTATTTATCAGTACTGTACTACTAGTGCATCAAATATTTACCAAGCTCCAATTGCCTCTTTTGCCCCAACGGGTTGGACATACAGTCTTCCAGACGACCCTGAGAATGGGCCCAATAACCATTACTCATACCTGCACCTTCACATGCGCCTCGAATCCGATTGGCTACCCGGGTTGTCGAACATCACTCATCTTACACACGGATGCCACCGCACTGGCGGGTATTTCGATAGATGGCCTGCTATTCATCTTGTCTATATGATGTTTCTTCCTCGTCTACAAACCGCACATTTTTATGGCGCCAGCATTCTCCCTCCAGATAGCTCCACTCCATTGGACCTAGCGAAACTCAGCCTTAGATTCTCAGGTCAAAAGTCAACAATTAAACACCTCGGGCTCCTGAATTGCCGGCTTCGGAAATCGGATTATAGAACGATAGCTCAAATCACTGGGTCTCTGCAATCCTTCAAGTGTGTACTCGAATATGAGGAAGTTAAATGGAGCGACTACGCCTATGTAAGGGATGTTTATGATCTATTCCGTCTTCATAATCATCCATCTCTGAAGGACGAACAGGTTGTTGTTAGCAGAGCTACCGGGAAGGATAAGGATCCGGAGGATTTAGAAAAGGATATTGATTATGGGAATGACGATGATTTCTTATATAATTCCGATTCTGATGGCCCTTGGAACCACGATTTGGGAGCAGACCAGGGAAGAGATGCAATCGGTAGCCCTGAGTCTAGCCAAGCTGGGGAGAATGGTTCTGACATATTTGGGTCGGATGGTTCTGGGAGGTCCCCTTTGTACTAAGCACCTTAGGAAATATATGATGGCTACATGGAGTTAATTAATTCGGCTTCGGGTTAAATCGATCTAGAGTGATCAGTCACAAGACAAATTACTGTATCAACATTAAGTATCGCCTGGTCTCGTTCCGCAGCGTCGTAGTATCGCCTTCAAGACGCTATATCGAAACAAACGATGCTGTAGTCTGCTTGCCAAAGGCAACAAGATATAGAAATGATATAAGTACAACTATGCGAACACCCAGTCCATTTACATGTACATGTATGTATAGTGATATGGAGGTTCAAGCCACAGGTGGGCCTAGGAGATATGGTTTCATAGTATGCATTGTACGTATTAAACCTAGGTCTAGTCGAAGAGCCCCACCAGTCGTCTGGCGGGTCCGCACGATGCATATGGAGCCCACTGCGGCTAAATGCCACCCAGCCCCTAATTCCAAATATAGGGAGAATTCTCAACTGCCAGCGCCGTTGGGGATCTGGGTACGAGACAACTCAATTGCGTGCAACAAACGAAAGCAATGCCTTATAAGTTTTTATTTAATTAGCTTAATAAGCTCAATTATGCACTTGGCTCTGGACGAGCACCCGGTCGAGTGGCAGCGGTTTTAGTCCTCGTAGCTAGTCAAAATTAATATTGGACTCCATAAATATTTTCAGGCGGTGATCCGACTGGTTCCTTGGGCCTGTCAGAAAACATCGGGGTCTTGGTCTGGGCGCTTACTGACAACCCTGGCACTGAGGCTAGCCTTTTGTGGATGCCACCTTTCTGTCGCAATCCTTCCAGTATCACACGCCGCGCCTGCTGGACTAATGAAAATCCAAACTAAAGATTTTCGAAGCCTCGAAGCAAATGTATGAACTTTCCACTAAATTAAATTTAGACACATGCACATGGACATCGGATGAATCTATGCATGCAGTCGAGCTCACACGCCAGCCCCACGATCAAATTTGGCCAAACCCATAGCCATTATCCCTGGTTTTTTGGCTATAGGGTCTAGTATAGATTAGGTTGATAATTCTGCCAGCTAATATGACCCTAGCCTTGAGAGCTGTGCCGCACGTCATTGTACGGATATATAGATCGGAATTCTACTTGGGAGGCTAAGAGAATAGGGTCAAGTCTTCTAAGCATCATGTTTTTTTGAATAGAACAAGCTTTGTTCGATTCATTCAATCTTTCATTTTTATTCAACCATACTTATTTTCTATAGACGTCTGGCGCCAGCGCTAGCTAATTTTCCTTTCTTTCCTTTTTTATGATAAATTTCATTGAATATTCGAGTATTATATTATATTAACGCGAACGCCAGCCGTCGCAGCCGAATCATTAATGTCGAGAAACGGCACGGCGTCCACGCCGCACACACATACAACCTCTTTCGACACCCAGCGTACACAGACCATTGATACAGATACGCCCACCGGCACAGATATCGCTAATTTTAAAAAGGAAAGCGATTGTAAATGCAAAAAAAATGACGGTCGCCTGAGAAAGAAACCTGTAGAATTGTGGTTTAGGTTGTTCCTCACGATAGGTGCTGTAGTATTTATCGCCCTACCGCTCTTTGCATACTGGCTCAACGGGCAGGAAGTGCAACAAAATCAACACGGAAAGCTACTATTGGAGTCGATCAAATGGGTAAGTCACTTGTTATCCATTTCCATTTCTGGCGAAGTCTGCCTGATTTAGCTTTGGACATATCGATGCTAATTGTGCACCCGTGGTGTTGGCTTCAAGGGTCCGACTGTATTCCCAATAATATTCGCTGCAATTGTTGGCGGTTTTCTGCAGGCGGTAGCCTTAAAACATGCCCAGAAAGGTGCCAAACTGGGCACCCTCGAACAGCTGACACGAACCATAAATATGTTCAGTGCCATTACGACTCCTTATTTCATTAAAACATACAACTGGCTCTCTCTTGTTCTCTTGTTGCTTTGGGCCACCTCTCCGCTTGGTGGCCAAGCGTCACTCCGGTTACTATCTACACAACTTGTCGCCTATAGTACTCCTACCGAAGTCCGTTTCCTAAGCCCTACAAATATCACCAGCTATATTTCCACGGGAGGGCGTAATTATGGAACTTGGAGGACCCAGGCCGAATACATCTACACCGCAAGTTTGCTAGGCATAGCCGCAGCGAAACACCGTACTGTAGACCTTTGGGACAATGTTAGGATACCATACATTGAAGAGATAGAGAAGCAGACACCAAATTCCGGCCCAGATGGTTGGTACAATGTTACTACCACGAACACAACCTACTCGTCGCTCCTCGGAATCCCAATAAGAGGGCTTATAGATAATATCACAGTAACTATTCCAACCAGCTACTCTAAGCTCAGTTGTCCTTACTTCAAGCTCGTCGGCGATACAGAGGGCGAAAAATGCTTTGCCGGCAAGCATAACCGTTGCTTCAATGCTGGAAACCCCAATAGCCCTGAATGGATCTTCCCGTCGGTAGACCATAACAATACTTGGCCAGGGTATGGCAGCTATATGTTTGTTGGTATGAATGTCAGCCAGACGGAATTTAAGTCTCCATACGGTAATGAAAGCCCGGAGCCAGTGGACCTGATTTTCGAATCCCCAGGCAGGGGTGGGATATCTACCGCCTGGTGCAAGCTGTCTCAGACGTACGTCGAGGTTCAGATAACCTGCCCTTCCTCTCGTTGCGCCGTTTCTAAGATCCGCCGAATCCGAATTGGAACACCACGCCCGCCGTTGTTCTATCAAGCCACACCAGGGAGGATAGGGACTTTGGCGAACTTTGTAACGGATTTCTCACAGGTCTCAAAAGCAGGGAAACCGTCATTTAGCAATTTTAACCAAGGCTACATATTCAACCCCGACGACCCCATCTCTGCTACAACTGACTGGGTAGATATCGTAGATGTGGGGACCGATAACTTTGAAATACGAATGTCACAGTTAATCAACACCCTGATGGGGGTGGTTCAAGGCCCAGCACTATTCCTCGGTAATCACGATATCACGCCCAATAATGATACTTATTCGAACAGCCTGGGACGGGTTGTCCATGCGGAGTCCTCTATGGGAGAATCCACAGAGCTGAAGGAGTTGTTTATTTGCTATAAAGAATGGGCTGTATTGATGTTATTTGCAGCCGTGCTGTTATTCTCTCTTGGGATCTCGAGTGCCATAATCGCCTATACAGCACTAGCACCTGACACATTGGGCTCCCTTTCCGCACTAGCGGTTGAAAGCCAGTATTTCGATGTGGAACATAAGGGCTCCACGCTCGACCGCGATGGGAAAGCCATTGCCTTGAAGAATCGAGTTGTCAAGTTGGGAGATGTAGAAGGGTCTAGTGAGACGGGATATATCGCCCTTGGGACAGTGGACACGGACGAAAGAGCTGTTGCAGATCTAAGCCCTGGTCGCGTTTATAGATAGCAGTTTTACATTAGCTCAAGAGTGTATGTGTCTAAACTTAAAGGTCGGGTTAGTGCAAACCGACACCTGCTATTTGTTCCATTTATTTTAATTCCGCAATCCTTCTAATTATATATATATATATATATTAGTTCACGTTTATAGCTCTATGGGATCCCATGATTATTCTACTTAAAAACTCAGAACGTAGATAGGAAAGAAGCTCGACAAGTAGCAATATCAATAACTTTAGTAGCACTAAATAAAACAAAATAGGAGTATGAGAATTCGAAGCTCTAGAAATAATTTCTACTTAACATGACTGACAGACTTGCGGGCAACGCCTGGCGTCCTTGTTTTTTCAAAAGCAGGTATTAATATTGCAGAGGTCAGGCTTTCTTGCTACCTGTAGTAGTAACAAGTTGCATGTTAGATTCTCTAACTGAAAACTCCTTCTCTTGTACTCTTAAATCTTTAAACTTATAGTCTTGATCCTGGAATATTATCGAATCCAAACGTTGAAGCCTATCGCAATTTGGAGTATCTACAAGTCAGGCACCAACCAAAGGAACCTTTAAACTGCCATGCATGCATTTAGGCTCAGCACCCAACGAGGACTCCGATATTTAGAACTTATAGCCTGGGGTGCCCTGCCAAGTTATTTAGATAGCAGCGGTTATGTTTGAGAAACACTATAATTACAAAATGCGCATCATCTAACTGTAAGCTGTTTTAGTGTCTAGGCTGGTTTACGAGGCAAATGTTGTAATTAATTTAAAGTTATTACCCCGCACTTTGTGAACGCGCATCATCTTTAGCCTTAGTGAAGAAACCTGTTTAAAGGAGAGGCCAAAATAGAAAATAATTGAAGGGTAGAAGAAAAAAAAGGAAAAGGAAAATGATAAAACATGAGCAGGCTTGGATTCGAACCAAGATCTCCTTCCGACTAGAAGGAGTGTTACCACCGCCTTCTGATTGCGAAGCTGTGTGTTTCCAGTTACACCACGAGCTCTTCTCACAAATCTAAAGACGCCAAATTTACTTTATAAAGGTGATAGGTTTGGCGGCTGACAGGCCGACCAAGAGGGCCGGTACTTGTCAGCATCCGTAGCTGTAAGGTACTTAATTATGATACGAATGTCAAAGCAATAGTATTAGCACCCCTCTGAGAATACCGTTGAATTTGCCTTCTACTTTGCGACACGTACCCTGCGCGCGCAGCCTCATGATCGCTACATGAGGGTGCATGCATGGTGCACCAACACTCCGAACCCAACGCATAAAATACAACATTAGGTTCTCGAAACCTGCAATGTTGGAATGTTCTTGCCCAACCTCCTACGGCACTAACCGCCAAAATAACACGAGAAAGGACTCCTAGAGCTATAGTGTGTGCATAGATAAAAGGGTTTCACAAGACCTAAGAGCTATGTCTGTTATAGATCTTGGGGTTACTACCCGCTAGAGGAAAATAAGCTTCACGTCGTTGTTCCAACTCAATTCAAAATGGGGCTGAGAAGCGACATGTCGACACCGTAAAAATGTAGCCTGGGGGCATATTTGTAGGGAGGGGTCGTCTAATTGATAGGTATCACTAACCTCATCATCAGTATTCACGTATATGTGGATATTTGCATGATTCAGACTAGGGTGAGGAGGATACCCGGGCGGCCGGTCCCCGAAACAGGTATTGCTCTCGAAGGGGCACTGTGATATAATATATGTGCGATGATACATACGTGTACACGGTGTGCTGTGCAGATATCTAGATCTGCATGCCTATGAGAAAATCGGGTTTCCCTCTCTTTTACTAGCCTCGAATCCAGGCGCTCGAGGCAGGGCTCTTTTACGACATGAAGACTTTAATTTGCACATCATGCAATTTAACACGCGATGAATCAATTTGCAACTGAGTGTCCAGACTGGTTTATGAGACGAAATTTTTATAAGTATAGCCTTTCCCCCCATCACGCTGGGTGCTAAATTTGACATTGCATAGTTTTAGTCGGAGGGGAGGACATGAGTGTGATTGGATATACACTTTTGGCGAACTAGTACGTTAATCGATGGCTCCTTTAATTAGCTCAGTCAGTTAGAACGTGGTGGTAATCCCAACCAATATTCATTAAACAATGTTGCATCAAGGTTACGAGTTTCCGTGTAGAAACCAAAGTTAACAGATTCTTTCTTTTGAGCCTTTTTTCGTCACATTTGCAACACCAATTCGTTTCAACTTTACAACATCTTTAACACATATTACAGCCTCAAATGCGTGCCTCGAATTCCATTGGCTGCAACTGCTGTTTGGTTCCGGGACTGGCACAGTAGTTTGATAGGGGATTTGGTATAGATATCGTAGCTCCTCGGATTCTCTTGGAATTTTACACTAGCTATTTTCTTGAAGTGAAGGTCGGGTCTGGTGTATGCGACAATATTTTCTTCATAGATCCCTTACTACCTAGTCTCGCTCCTAGATATCACAAAGGGAGGTTACCATTTGGCACTGCCACACAACATGGTATAGCATGAAGTTCGATGTGCAACAATTGGTGTATCCTGTCGCTCGCCGCCAACTTCAATATGTTGTGCGTTTTATAGGTTAGTACTGCACGATTTAGGATGTGACGCATTGATGCACCTCGACTACGCCTCTCTAGGTCATCATAGCATATCCTTTGATAACCGTCAGCTATATATAATGACCGGTTTAGTGCGTGATTAATGGTAGGAGCTGGGTATAAATTATAAACAGAGCAGACTGGCAGGCTTTGACTTTAGGAGGACACACGATTACTACTCAATTGAGGAACCATTGATTTTTGGAGGCCCACGGGCTGGATCCTAAGCAAATGATTTTATCGACATATTTACACCTACCGATACCTTCGGAAGTTGACTGTAAAACCATCCACAATGGTGCAACCCTCACAAAAAAAACCACACGCTTCTTTCGCTCTCGTCCTATTACTGTTTTTTCTCCTGGCCGGCCTCGCCGCTAGTGAGCCAATTAAACTACCTCGGGGCCAATTGAGGATTGGAACTGTGGAGAAACATTTTGTAGAAGCTGTCGTTGTATTCCGCCCAGAATACCGAAGGGATAAAGAAGTGATTGACAAGTTAGTCAAGGAGGTTGAGAAAATTGCAGTTGCCCCTTCAAAAAATTCCATTTACCGTGTCGAAAGCGAAACCTTGGGCACATGGGCCTTGATCGTCAGTACTTTCCCGGACACTAAGCCCTTTGGAGAGTTTTTAGATGGGCTCGCAAGCCGAGATATTAAGAAATGGGTGATTGCTTTCTGATATTTTCTCTAAAAAATTAGGTTCTTTAGTTGACTAATTGGGCGATGAATTTTAGCTTGGATTAGCAGCGGTTTATCCCCTTACCGTCAACTACAAAGGCAGACCCGGAAGTCTTGCTGGGATAGACGAATGGCCATGGTTAGATCCATCGATGGGGAATTCAGCCTCCCAGAAGAGCAAACGAGACCCTGATGAAGTGGATGGCGAGCGCTCTATCTCGAAAGCAGAAGTCGGCGATGACCTCTCGAAGGCGGATATAGTTCCTGTGCGCTCGGATTTCACAGGAAATTTAATTACATCCCAGCCTCCAGGTGTCTCTCTTGGCGAGATGAATAACATCACGTATCGTGAGAATGACGCTGGAGCTGGAGTGGTGGTTTATGTCATAGATTCCGGCCTTGATTTATCTCACAAAGTAGGTCTAATCCCTATGGACAATTGATCCAAAATTTACCATGACCGTCCCTCTACAACGTCTAGAAACGAGGCCACTCCGGCCCTAGGTTTTTTTTTTAATACTCTGTAGCGTTTCTAATGCGATTACTTCCATAGAACTTCGAGAACCACCAAAACCAATTTGCAAGCGAACTAAGTTGGCTTTACTCTGGCCCATTACCAAGTGATGAAAGAAGTGATGATGGGAGGCCCTTTAAAGGCCTCGGGAAAGATGAACCGTCAAACAAGATGGGATTTACTGGGACTATATCGGCTTCGAAAATTATTGGCAAAACAGGGTTCGCCCCTTCCGCGGAATTGGTAGTGGTTAAGTTACATACAGGCAGGAATCACGTTTCTTTATTGAGCGAGATTGATTGTTTACTCAAAATCTTTGATCATTATAAGCTATTGCGTAGACTAGACAAAGATGGAGAGATTGGTTTCAAAGCAGCCGTTGTTGTCGGGGGCGAGGGAACTGGCTTACTTGGGATGTCGCCGCACAGGACTCTTATCTTTGGCCATCTCATTAGGGAGTTACTGTCCAATTTTGCACTTGATAATATATACTCTTTTTTCTCAGCCGCCGCTCAGAAATCTGTAAGTAACATTAACGTATAGTTGGCGATTCTAAACTTGCCTCCAGAAGCTGATAGTAAAAACTCCATCCAGATAACAACCTCCTTCCCGACGAGCCAGCTTATTCCAGCTGTGGGCCAAGCGCCTTTGCTACCTAAAAAATATCTAGAACGAACTTCAATAGTTGGTAGTATTCATCCTGAAAAGTGGGCCAGAGTGACCCCGGATAATGCAGTTACCAAGTTTTATGCTCCTGCAATCATCGACTCGCCATGGCTGTTCGAACATTACAGGGGCAATGACGCGAAGCTGCCCTATCAAAGTGTATTATCGGCCCGCTTTGGTAAGAGAAACATCATCCTGTTCCACTATATATGCCAGAGCTGACCCTGCGATAGCAAGCGCGTATGCAGCGGGTGTCTGTGCAGCGTTGATTAGCCGTGGCTGGAAAGATCCATTGAAAAGGATGGAAGAATTGGCATATCCGCGAACTAATAAGAATAACGCAAAGGTCATTTGGAATGGGATTCACAATTCGACGTGGAGTAAGGCCCTGGAAGAGTACGATGTGGACGGCGAAGGGGGAAAGAAGGAAAAGAAGAAGAAGAAGAAGAAAAAGAAGAAGAAGAAGAAGGCAAAGCAAGATCTGGAGTAATTGATCTCTAACACTAAGGCACAAGCTGCTCTCATACATACATACGTACTTGTTTAGTGCTTTTGAGTATAGTTGGCCTCGCTCGAGTGCCCCAGAATAAAAGTAGGAGCTCGAAAGTTTATCTCGACTTCCGTATTCACTGTCTCGTAAACTAGACTGGGCACGTATTCACATCCATTTTGTGCATACATCTAAAGGGGTTTATTTATCTTTTGCGATGTAATATCCCTATGATTTCTGCCTTTTCCCACAGGCCAGATCCTCACCGAATTCTGTCCCTTATTTAGGATCCGCGATATATATTCGGGGATCTAAAATACAGAGGAAAACATACACACAATCATAGTCTCGGTCCCAGACACAATCATATGTTATGATGTGACTGCAGACGAAAAAAAAAAACCCCCCTATTAACCGATCTATATATTAGTATATTAAATAACCACGACTACGAGTACTTGATTAATATAGATAGGTTCTATGCGGGAGATGACCGAGATTTACAAGCTGGAATTTCTTAGCTACGTATACGAATAGACTACCAAGCCGAATCGATATTGAAGTTGCCGCCAATAACAAGGCTGACGAAATCAGAAACCAACATCCCGGGTCTTGATTAACACAGTTTCAGAGAGAGTCGGTCAACGACAAACCAATTTTAAGTCGACCAGGGTTGGCTATTTTAGTCTCATCAGACCGCCTTCCAAGTGGACCTATTTCGCACTTAAGGGAGGTCTCCCGTATTGGTGGTTGCCCGGCGAGCATATTCATAATTTTCAAAATGGATAGATAACGGAATGAGGCCGATTTAATGTGTAACTTTTATGTTTTTAAAATATGGGTGGTTATAATACAAAGATCCTTGGAACACCATTCCCGGGTGCCCAAAGGAGAAAAGAAGAAGAAAAAAAGCCCATGCCAAAACCTCGGCGGCATAGCCAGTTGCCTGATCCGACATTTAACATGTATGAAGTGAAAATATACCATCAAAAATAAAGGGGAATAGTATCCACATATCCAAAGAACGCCGAATCCATCGGGGA